TCAAATAATTTTTTTTTTAAAATAAAATAAACATATTATTAATTTTTTATAATTTTTTTTTTAATTTAAAATTTTAGAAAACGTGTAAAAATATAGTTTAATATAAAATAAAAAATAAAAAATAAAATAATTACTAAGCACTAATAAATATATTGAGATATTTATTTAATAATTTCAACTACTTTAGTCTCTAACGTGTTGGTGGGACTTTGAAACTTCTACAAAAAGTTATGCCCACACCATATTTTAATATACAATTATTTTAAATTATTATTTTTAATATTTTAAATTACTTGAATTATTTTATTGTATATATTTATAATATACGAGCATAAATTATTTTATTTTATTTTATTTTTTTAAAATATATATTACGTTATTTATCTTTATTTAGACTGCAGGTACTGTAACTACAGATAACTATCTCGTGACACAATTTTAAATTTGTCGAGTCCGTTTTTTTTTTTTGTAAGTGGAGTTGCATACCTTTCGATGTTGCATCCTTCAATATAATTTTTTAAAATATTTTTGGATCCTTAAATAATATACCAAATGACCAATAAGGGCACTCGTTACTGGCGTCATCTCGTCATCCTATGCACAACGTTTGTCCTGTCATTATATGGGCACTCGTCACACCCAAGTAATTCCCTGGATTTGATGAGTTAAATTACAACTTTTATGACCATCTTCACTTATATCATCATCAATGACACCATTCTCGCACAATTTTGGAGATATATCCCCGTGTATCTCATCGTTTACTTAAACTTTACTATTGCGTGATCGTTATTTTTAGTTGGATTTGTATTATTTTCTTCGCGTTCTTCCTCTACTTCATTATAATTGAGAAAATCAATTTTCTTAATGTAAATGGGATAATGGAAAACATCTCGTAAGCAGTAGTCAGTCATCTCTTATGAAGTTGCTGTCGGGTGGTTATGACCTTAGCTCAATTGGAACACATCATTTGAGAAAAATGTACGTCGTATCTCCGTTCCTTGGATATCTTACGACTTTTTGACATATTTTTGTCATTATTTAAAATTCGTAATGCACTGTCAGTTATGCTCGCGTGAGGCAATAATAGTTATATTCTCGTCATGCCGTGCTCGTATAATCCGAATCAATTACAAAGTTCTTCAACGTAAACCACTCAAATTGGTCTAACATAAACCATTATATTCTTCCCTCTCAAGCCTCTTAAACTAAAGACCAAAGATTAAATCCAATCCAATTAAGACCAAACTTCAAAGACCCAAAACTAAATTAGTCTCAAAGCTCAAATCTCAGTCAACTCAAAAACCTAATCAGCCCATTCAGAAAAATACAACTCAGTCCATGTAAAACCAGCTCATTGATTTCCCTCAAAACGGTATCTTTGTTTGGAGAAGATACTTCTGTCTTCTCCGGTAATCAGTCCATGACAGAGAAGAAAGAGAGATGTAACGAGGCAGCAGGTAGCGTGATGAAGGTGAGGATGATAAAAAGTGTTCGACATACACAAGGGAAGAAGGAAAGGAGCAGGTGCAACGAAGACGATGATGGTGAGAAAGTGAGATGTTTGACAGAGAAATGATGATGATAGCTGGTGATTCAAGGCAGAAGGAAACAACGCGACCAGGGAGTAGGAAGATGAAGTTAATGGCATTAGTATAAAACATTTATGCATTTGGATTTATTCACCAGACTCGAGGTTGTATGATCCAAATGAAAAGAAGTTGGATTCAAGGACGGCTATCTACTTTTTTAATGGTTAACTCAGAGCAGCTTTTATTGAAAAATATTATCCGACCACTGTAAATCATTCAGAACATAAACATCAAGGTCCTTAAAAATGGAAAAAAATATACAATAAAAATATTGTGGACAACATATTAAAAACGAGGTGGTGAAGGGATAGCAATAAGAGGAAATTTCCTATGAACAGAAATTCCAGCAGATTCAGTCAAGTCAATTCCATGTTCTTTTGCTCCACGATAAGGCATTGGTTTCCAATCGCATTTGTGTAGAACATTTGCTAATATCATCTCTATAAGTATTGTAGCAAAGTGGATACCAGGACAACCCCTTCTTCCTGCTCCAAATGGAATCAACTGGAAATCATGTCCTTTAAAATCTATACAACTGTTTAAAAACCTTTCTGGTTTGAATTCCTCTGCCTCTTCCCATGAGTCAGGATCTCTGCCGATTGCCCATGCATTGATCAGAACTTGAGTTCCTGCCGTAATGTCATATCCTCTTACATTCGCATCTTTAACGGATTCTCGAGGCATTAGCAGCGGAAGAGGAGGGTGTAAGCGAAGAACTTCTTTAATCACTGCTTTCAAGTATTTCATTTTACCTAAATCCTCTTCTATTATATTTGACTTATCACCTGCAATAGTTCTGACTTCATTACGCAATTTCTTCATAACTTTGGGATGTCTTAAAAGCTCTGTCATTGCCCATTCGAGAGTTGTAGATGTTGTATCTGTTCCTGCTATGAACATATCCTAGACGAATATGGATAATTAGTCATATTCTGTAATTGAAAATTACAGGTGCGTGTGCGAGTTTTTGTTAGTGATTCGTAAAAAAAATTAAGAAGATAAATGATTCTTACCAAGATAAGAGCCTTTATGGTAACTCTATCAATAGGAAATCCAATCGTGTTTTCTCTTTGAATCCAGAGCAAGACATCTACAAAATCTTTCGAGTCTGTATCTTGAACATCACCATAATCACTGGTATTACTCTTGTTCTTCAAATGATTTACATGTTCTTCCACTATTCCCTCAAAAAGATCATCAAGTTCTTTTGCTAATTTCTCTAATTTAGTATTCAATCCATTAACACAACTAACCCAAGAAAGCCATGGGATATAATCTCCAATATCAACAGTACCAGTTAGTTGAGCAAACCTCGTCAGAAGCTCCTTAAGCTTTTTCCCATTTTCCTCGTCTCCACCATACTTCCTCCCGAAAGCTACTCTACACAATATATCATTTGCTAGTACTGTAAAAGTCTCACTCAAATTCATAGGTGAACAGTAAGATTCTTGGATCTTCTTCGTCAAAATCATTGTCTCTTCTTCTCTTACTTTTTGAAAACATTGAACCTTTTTGCTACTCAATAAATGTATCACGCATATGCTCTTCATTTGCCTCCAGTATTCACCATAAGGTGCAAGAACAACATCTTTACAATTGTAAACTAATTTATCAAAGACGCTTGATTTAAATCGACTCGAAAAGATATTATCATGGGTTTTCATGACATCGAGAGCAGCATGAGCGGAGGAGATGACAAGTACAGGAACGCTGCCAAAGCGAAGCAACATGAAAGGACCATACTGTTGAGCCAATGCCCGAAGAGATCTATGGGGAGATGATCCTAGTCTGTGAAGGTCTCCAACGATGGGGAGCTTCGGCGGAGAAGGTGGTGAGTTCTTTTTAGAAGAAGAATAGCATCTGAGGAAGAAATATCGGAAGAGAAATATGAATAAAACAGTGAACCACAGAGAATTCCACATGATACTCGTAATTTCTTACGTTTTTTGTGATCGTATATAAGAGGACCTTCTAAAGAATCTTCAGTTTTTCATTACAGTAATTGCTATAGTATATTATATATAACTTGCAGACCTATTAATCATAATTTAATTCATGTCATGTGGGGGAGAAGTCAACAAATCTTTTTTAGTATAACTGCGCCATATCCAACTGGCCCGATCTATTTGTTTGCATTCAACATCAACAATAAACAATGGCCTTGCACTGTAAAAAATATATCCATATATATGATTAATGCAACTGTTACACCAAACAAGAGTATGGGTTAATATATATACATGTATATATATACATATATATATATATATAGAGAGAGAGAGAGAGAAAGAGTAATTAATTCCGTATAGGTAATGCAACTATTACACAATAAACAATGGCCTTGCACTGTAAAAGATACATCCATATATATTTGATTAATGCAACTATTACACCAAACCAGAGTATGGGTTAATATATATATACATGTATATATATATATGTATATATAGAGAGAGAGAGATAGAGAGAGAGAGAGTATTATTGTAGTAATTAATTCCGTATAGGTAATGCAACTATTACACTATAAACAATGGCCTTGCACTGTAAAAGATATATCCATATATATTTGATTAATGCAACTATTACACCAAACCAGAGTATGGGTTAATATATATATATATACATGTATATATATATATATATATATATAGAGAGAGAGAGAGAGAGAGAGAGAGAGAGAGAGAGAGTATTATTGTAGTAATTAATTCCGTATAGGTAATGCAACTATTACACTATAAACAATGGCCTTGCACTGTAAAAGATATATCCATGTATATTTGATTAATGCAACTATTACACCAAACCAGAGTATGGGTTAATATATATATATATATACATGTATATATATATGTATATATATATATTTATATGTTTCTTTGAAGTCTTACTTTAATTTTTATTACTTACAAAAAAAAAAAAATTCATTTTTTCATAATTTATAATATATATTTTCATAGACATTTTCTAAAACATATAAATTAATTATAATACTATTCTATATACAATTTGTGTATTAAAATTACGCAATATAATGTTGTGAAATTATAAATTTGAGAATTTAAATATAAATTTTGATATATAATAAATAACATCGAAATACTTTAGTAACTTAAGTTTAAATAAAACGTATTGAATAAAAAAGATACTACGGTTTCTATCTTTTTCAATAAAATCATCACGTAATAAATCGACAAACCTTAAAATCATGTCTCTTTCTTCTTCTATCTATCAATTACCGCATGCATTGCGCGGTGGATGTGATATAGTAAACTATTATCTCGATAATAATGAACAAAATTAATATTTACGGTGAATTTTTTATTAAATAATTATGCATTATTAAATTTAATATATAATTATTTTAATTTTATTTTAAATATATATATTTTAGGTTATAATAGTAAATATCTTTTAAAAATATAACGTAACATATGGTTTAAATATATAATAAGGTTTTATTTTTTTTATAATTAAAGGCTTTAATTTTATTTTCTTAAACAAATATTTGTAAACGCCATGCCAGACACGTGGAAATGATTCGCCCTCCCAAACCCTAGAGCCTTGTGAAGCATGATGCTCAACCCCGGCATCTACCTTTCCGGGAAGCAGACAGGCGAATCTCGACAGAAATCGTAAAGCTTACGTAATGGTGGAAGGAGAAGTTAGAGATGGGGATTGAATGGAGAGGAAAATGCAGAAGAAACCCAGAGCCAGAGTGAAAAGAAGAAGGTAATACCAGAAGAGGACAGGCATCTGTACTTTTGTAAAGGATGGGTGTGTACGTATTCATTTATATATACACGTATATAATATACATGCAATATAATATGTGTGTGTGTGTGTGTGTGGATGGGTGTAAACATACAGGAGCTGTAGAAAGGTCTTCGTCTTTTGAATTAAAACGAGCTGTAAAAAGGTTAACTGAGTAGGAGATGACTGCAGGCTGCTGGGTTTCTCCTGGTACGACTCCAAATAATAACAGGTGTTTAGCGTTTGGAGACTGAGATGAAGCAAAATTACAACTACTCATTCACGAGGCTGTCAAAGCGATGTCATCCCACGAGCCAGGCAAGTTCTAGGGTTCTATGGATTTTAGTCCCAGAAGGATCTTCAGATGGCCGAAGGGAAGAAGAAAGAACTGCCTCCCAAACGTCGTCGTTTGAGGTGTCGTGGGAAGGGTTGGGCCATCTCGCTTTTGGGCTTTCGATATGGGCCCAATTGTGGGTTCAGAAGAAAAATTGGGCTTCCCTTGTTATATAATTTGGAAATTAACTTTCATAAACCCTAAGCTTTCTTTAAATATATATATATACATACACACACATATATATATATTGTATTACAATATTTTATAATAATCTCTAACTAGATATGTAAAGTTCTTTCCAGGTTTTGATTAGTTTATTAAATATAAGAATCAATTTAAAATTAAATTTTAGTCACGCTAATAATGTTAAAAACCTTATGCTATAAATAATATCTTCTCGTTAGATTACAAGTTAAAAAGGTCTACTACTGCATGATTTGAAAATATAATAACGATGTTGCACGGAATCAACAATATTTCTTTTAAAAAAATTTGAAATGAAAGATTTTAAAAATATATCTTCTATATTTAGGTATTCAGATACATTGACATTGCTCTTGAAGTATACTTGAATTATTATAAAAAAAAGTATATCGAGAAAGTATTAAAAAATTTAACGTGCATAATTATAAAGCAAGTGACACCCGTATTGCTAAAAGAGTTCATACGTAATCTAAATTATTGTTGCATGAATGAATTTAAGATAAAAGAGATGCTAAAGATTTCTAATGCATCGGCAATTGGGAGTCTAATGTATGTTCAAGTTTGTACACGTCCAAATATTGTATATATTTTAGAAACGTTGGAAATATATTTGAGTAATTTGATAATATATTATTAGAAATCGAGCAAAACAAGTTATGTAGTACTTATAAAAAACAAAGACTACATTCTCACGTATAAGAGATCAGATTAGTCGGAGATTATCAATATTTTGATTGGATGCCAAGTTATTATAGAACTATATCGAACTATATCTATCTATTAGTTGGATGAATTATTTTATAGAAGGGTGCTGAGTAAACATTTATAACTTTTTCTACTACAGCACTAAAGTTTATAACGTGTATTATAAGACATCTAGTTATACAATATGATTATAAAATTTTTATTAGAGATCTACATCGAGTTATATCTATCTATTAGTTGGATGAACTATTTTATAGAAGGGTGCTGAGTAAACATTTGTAACTTTTTCTATTACAGCACTAAAGTTTATAATGTGGGTTATAAAACATTTAGTTATAGAATATGATTACAAAATTTTTATTATTACATTGACGTTTTTTGATGGAATTTTTAAAACATTACTAAAAATTTACAGCGTAAACAACGGCAACATCAAATGAATCCTTAAAAATGAAACGGTGTTCAATGAAAAATATTACAGATACAAATTCATAAACAAGGTGGTGAAGGAACAGCAATGAGAGGAAATTTCCTATGAACAGAAATTCCAGTTGATTCAGTTAAATGAATTTCTTGTTCTTTTGCTCCATGATAAGGCAATGGTGTCCAATCACACTGGTGCAGAATGTTTGCTAATACCATCTCTATGAGGATCGTAGCAAACTGGATACCAGGGCAACCCCTTCTTCCTGCTCCAAATGGAATCAATTGGAAATCGTGTCCTTTAAAATCTACACAACTATCCAGGAACCTTTCTGGCTTGAACTCCTCAACCTCTTCCCATGACTCGGGATCTCTTCCAATTGCCCATGCATTGATCAGAACTTGAGTTCCTTCTGCAATGTCATACCCTTTTATATTCACATCCTTAATGGATTCTCGATGTATTAATAATGGAAGAGGAGGATGTAAGCGAAGAACTTCTTTGATCACTGCTTTCAAGTATTTCATTTTACCCAGATCCTCTTCTAGTACATTTGACTTGGTACCTGCCGTGGTTCTAACTTCATTCTGCAATTTCTTCATAACTTTAGGGTGCCTTAAAAGCTCTGTGCATTGTCCACTCCAGAGTTGTATATGTTGTATCCGTCCCTGCTATGAACATATCCTGGATGAATATGTACAATCAGTCATCTTTTGTAATTGGAAATTAGAGGTACATGGTGGTTTTTTTTGACAGATTAGTAAAAAAATTAAGAAGGTAAATGATTCTTACCAAGATGAGAGCCTTTATAGTAACTCTATCTATAGGAAATCCAGTCGTGTTTTCTTTTTGAATCCGAAGCAAGACATCCACAAAATCTTGAACATCATCATAATCACTAGCATCACACTTCTTCTTCAAACGATTTGCATGTTCTTCCACTATTCCCTCGAAAAGATCATCAAGTTCTTTTGCCACTTTCTCTAATCTAGCATTCAATCCGTTAACATAACTAACCCAAGAAAGCCATGGAATATAATCTCCTAGATCGAAAGTGCCAATTAGCTCAGCAAACCTTGCCAGAAGCTCCTTAAGCTTTTTTCCACTTTCCTGGTCTCCACTACACTTCCTCCCGAAAGCTGTTCTACACACTATATCATTTGCAAGTACTGCAAAAGTCTCACTCAAATTCATAGGTGAATAGTAATAAGACTCTTGGATTTTCTTCAACAGAATCGTCGTCTCTTCTTCTCTTACTTTTTGAAAAGATTGAACTTTTTTGTTGCTCAACAAATGTACCACGCACATGCTCTTCATCTGCCTCCAGTATTCGCCGTAAGGTGCGAGAACAACATCTTTACAATTGTAAACTAATTTATCAAAGACGCTCGATTTAATTCGACTTGAAAAGATGTTATCATGGGTTTTCATAACATCGATGGCAGCATTAGCAGAGGAGATGACAAGTACGGGAACACTGCCAAAATAAAGCAACATGAAAGGACCGCACTGTTGAGCCAACGCTTGAAGAGATCTATGAGGGTGTAATCCTAGGTTGTGAAGGTTCCCAATGATGGGGAGTTTTGGCGGAGATGGGGGTAAAATTTTTTCAGAAGAACAATAATACTTAAGAAAGAAATACAGGAAGAGAAATACAGACAAAACGCTGAAGCACAAAGAATTCAACATGATACTCATCTGATTTCTCTAGCTTTTGTGATAATCTAACATCTAATTTGCTAGGATATATACATCTATATATATATATACAGGACTACCTTCTCAAAGATCTTCAATTTTTACTGTAATAATCATTATAGTGTATGATATAAGGGCTTTGAGTACCTGCCTACATCATTGCACAGTGAACTTTTTGAATATAACTTGGACACTAACTAATAATAGTTTTATTCGTGTCGGGGAAGTCTCAAAATCTTTGGTAACCAGACGTGTACGCTGCTCAGTATCCAACAGGTCCAATTTTATTGGTTTGCATTCAACATCAACAGTAAACAATGGCATTGTACTGTAAAAAATATAGCCATATATATATATATATATTGATGAATCCAACTATTACACCAAACAAGGTCACGGGTTTACATATATATATATATATAGAGAGAGAGAAAGAGAATATTTTATAGTAATTAATTCCGTATGGGTAAATCCAAACCTTATCCAGCCTCTAGTCAAAGATCAAATTATGTTTGGAAAATTGTAAATATATCTACCTGAATTAATTATAATAATATGATATATATATATATATAACTTGTGTATTAAAAGTAAATAATACATTATGTTCTTGAGATAAGATAAGTGCCGTGGACTTTACCTTTGTTTCCATGGTGGTATTTCGTGGTTAATTAATGTAGAGTATGGTGTTAGAATGATAAAATTATGTTTGTTTCTTGATACTACGATTATTCGAGAATGTTTCGTAGTATCCGAAAGATAAATTTTGGACGAATTTTTAAAATTACTGATTCGATAGTTTTTGATCGACTCATATATTTGATCCGGTTATACTCTCGTTAAATTTTGTTAATTTCCGTTTTACCCTAAAAAAAACCCTTATTTGAAAATTAGTTGGATCATTTGGGTATTATGTTCTTTGTACCATTTGAAAATTTTCTCATAATGGTAAGAACCTTATGCTGTAAACAATAGCTTCTCATTAGATTACAACTTTAAAGGTCTAATGCTGCATCATTTGAAGATTTAGGGCAGAAATACAATAAACAAAACAAAACAATGAACAATCACATAGCCTCTCTAAGATGATTTATATCAAACATAATTGACGACATATGTAAGAATATAAACAAGAACCAGCGAGGAGGGATAAAGAAGGAATGCCAGAAATGCAGTCCATCTGGGAAAAGTTGAGCAAAAACTTGCAATGACACCCATTGCAGCACACACGATCGCAACCACCAGCACTTCACCAGAAAACTCCCATCTCAATCCACGAAAATAGATTAATGAAACGAACAAACAGAATCCCAGAATGTTATTCATGAAGACTCCACTGTATATCTGCATATCAAGAACCCACATACATCAAAAAAATAAACCTATCTTCATTCATTTATATAGAGGTTCGATATTATGGAAGGAGAAAGAGAGAGAGAGAGAGAGAGAGAGAGAGACCTCAGAGAATGCTAAAGAAGTAGTTCTTGATTTCTTCCGGTAAGCTGCGGTGATTGCTGAAGTAGCAAATCTAGCATTGGTTGCTAATGGGAGCAACATAAATGATACAAAGAAAGTTGGAAGATTTGCAGCTTTTGAGAAATCTTGAACGCTAAATATTAAAGGTTCAGCTAGAACTGCTAGTATGGCTACTCCAAAAACCATGCTTCCTATTGCCTTCAGCCATTTTAATATTGACTTCTCATAATCTCTTTCCCCCTTATTGCTATTCTCCTCATTCACCAATATTTCATCAGTTTTCTCCCATGTTTTCTACATAATAGTTAGTTAATGCATGAGCAATACATAATTATTACGTGAATATAATGATTAATGTGTATGTGTCTGTGAGTGTCTGCGCTAACTTAGACTTACTTGATAATCGTCGTCATCTTTGGACTGGTCTTCGTCATTATCACAGGGAGGAGTTTGTTGTGTTGATGTGCTGATCAATCTTGAAAATTCACGAGTGAATTCTTCTCGGCTTATATTACTATCTTCATTGGTGTCAAGTTCTTGATTAAGTTTGGCTACGATTTCGTCTGGATTTAAGGGAATATCACCAAACTTGATATCTTCAATAACTTGTTGCAATTCATCTTTTGATATGTAATTATTTCCATCTCGATCAATCCTTTCAAATAATCTACACACACACACACACACATATATATATACACACGTAACATATCAGTCAATCTGGAGTATCCAGGTAAAATGAATGTTAAGTAATTACCTTTGTATACTGTCTTCATCAGGGTTACCATCCTCTTTGAGGAAGCGTCCAATTGCATTGCTTTCAAAATGTTTCAGTATTCCTTCTATCAAATTTCCCATTATTTCCCGTTCTCTTTTTTTGTTCTTAATCAAGGGTTGTAAACTCTGTCAATTACAAGTAATTAACAATTATCACCACGTACCTAGTAAAGAAACCCAAGATACATATATATATATATATATATCTCATAAGCCTAGATGATATCTAACACATGTATGTGGTTTCTCATGATCTGCATAATCAAAGGCTGTAAATTCTGTCAATTACAAGTAATCACAATTATCACCAACATATATATATATATATAAACGCAAGGCCTAAGTGATATCTGATATATGTATGTGGTTTATCATGGTCTGCATAATCAACATGAGCCTAGCTATATATATATATATATACATACCTGGTGATATACATCCTGCAAGGATTTGTGATGAGATTGGTTGAGTTTGAGGTTATGGAAGAAGAGCTTAGTCCATCTTATGAATCCATGAACAAATTCCTCCCTAGTTATTTTGTTGTCGCCATTAACGTCAAATTCATTCATAACTTTTGCAACTGCACTCTTCTTGTCGACTTGTCCTGTTGGAAATTCAACCTTGTGAATCAGCTTTGTCAACTCTGAATGCGATAGTGTCTCATCCCCATCAACGTCAATTTCATCAAACAGCCTGTAACATATATATTTATATATATAAATGTCGGTACGTGTATAATTAGTTTTAAATATTGATAAATTATTAAAGCAATCATGATGAATAACTAATACATATATACCTCTTTATAGCGTTTACATCGGGTGCTCCATCCTCAGTGAGAATTCTGCCTTGTGTTTGTTCCTCCACAAGTTTTAGAATTCCCAACATTAAATGCTCAGTTTTAACAAACTCCAGCTTTCTTTTCTGAATCCATGGCTTAAATATCTGCAATAACATTACCTCTATTAATTACGTATATATTGCAAACGTATATATATGACCAGTATGGGTGTGTAATTATTGCATACATGAGTGTGTACGAGTGTATACAGGAAGTACCTGGTAGATGAAGTAGACAAGCAATAAGAGAGAGGAAATGGAGAGGGCAAACAAGAGAATAATTTGACGGCCTGAATACGAACTGGGGAAGAAATTGAGGAGTTGGATACTCAAAAATGGTAATATTGACACCACCATGATCATTGCACTGTAGCGGGTCTTTTTATCTGTATGTACACCAAAATCTGTATGCATATATGGAAAAGCTTTAGAAATATGTATATATATATATATGTATGTAGGAGAAAACAATAGAATGCATATATATATACCGGTGAAGAAATGTAAAAACTTGTGGAAGCGTGAATTTTGATTAGGATGGTGATGAAGATTTTGTCCGGCAAGAATAATGCAAGTTCCCCAAAGAACAGTGAGAAGTAAAATTGAGGAACCCGCCAACAATCCAACTCCAGTAAACACGAACTCTTCAGCAACCTCTTTGCCATGCAAAAGTCCTGATGCTGAAAGTTAAATTCAATATTACAGTTCATTAATCTATAATATATATATATATATACATACACATATATATAACAGAGCACTAGAAATAGAAGCATGACAAATATATATATTGAAGCCGCACACACACACACACACACACACACACACACATATATATATCATACTACGATTAATATTAAAGTGTATGATCTATTAGTATTTTATGAAATTACGTAGTTAATCAGTTACTTTCATCGTTCTTATTTTTTACTTCTAAATAATAGTTTGCAGTTTGAAGTCTGGTTATTATTCAAATGGAAGCATATATATATATATATATATATATATATATATATATAATTTACATGAATATTTAATTTCGTACTGGCCTTGATGTTAATTAATGAATGGCCAGCTGGCTAATGTTCTTCTTAATAATATGGATTAATGGAGAACAGCTAATTATTCCATTAATCATTATCTCCATTCAACAAAGACAGTGACTGATATATTTATTAAAATTAAGTAGACAAATAATTGATTTATGCATGAATATTTAGATCATGTCTAGTTCATGTATACATACATATATATATATATATATATATACGGGGCAAAGTCAACCAGTTTTGGGGAATCCAGATATGCACTCAACTCGCCAATTTTTTTTTCATCTAATGTCGCCAATTTTTGTTGTCACTTACATACAAATTAAATGAACTAGGATATATATGTATGTATATATAGGTATATGTATATATATGTACGTACCAAGGAGAAGGATGGCCTCAGGGAGAACTCCAAGGACATGGACGGCACTAGCACCGAAGACACCAGGTCCAAGAATCCTGAACACTTGCTCGCCGCCAGCAGCCAAGTAGATTTCTCCATGAAACAACAAATACTCATACAGCATTATTAGAAACAGATGCCCCCATATGCTGCTTGAGCATGGCAAGAATCCATACATTTCTTCACACGATGATGATGATGATGATGATGATGATGATGGATCCATTCTTATTCCATTCAGAACTAGATACTGGCCGCTGCTGATGCCGTCTGATACCAACCCATTTGACCCCCTACTCTTCTTCTCTTCCAGACCTCGACTTTGAACCCCATCAATGGCTAACAACACCAGAACACCAACTACCAGATACGCTACTGAATTCTCCGCTTTCCTCCCCATTTTTTTTTATCTGGGTATCGTGTACGAAAGTAGAAATCCAGGGCTTTGAGGTGTATATATCTATATACAGATTAAGGTTTGTACTTATATGTGTTTGTGAAGCAAATTGTTTGAGAAGTCTTCTCACACAAAGGATCAAAGAAGGCCAATGGTGATTGACAGGGTGCACTATTGACTTGATTAATATTGATTGTCAATTAGTATTTACTTCCATGGTCTATAACCATATTATATATATATATATATATATTAATTAGGTTAAACATTATCTAACTAGAAGGACTTATACATTCGTAAAAATATATTCAAATCTACCTAATTAATTATAATAAAATTGTATCATATATGTATATACAAGTTGTACAAAAATCGGTCAAATGTGATTTTTAACAAAAACTCATCTTCTCTTTTTTTTCGGTCTCTTTTTTTTTAATGGATAAAATTTATTTCGATAGTGAATTAGAATTAAAATAAAAATATAAATAACCCTAATGAGCCTAAAGAAATGAAATTCAAACATAAGTCGGTCAAATGTGATTTTTAATAAAAACTCATATTCTCTCTCTTTTCGGTCTCTTTCTCTTTAGTGGATAAAACTTATCTCGACAACGACTTAGAGTTAAAATAGTATAAAATAAAAATATAAATAACCCTAATGTGCCAAAAGAAATGAAGTTCAAACATGAATTTTTTTATATACGAGAAAATTCAAAATTCGACAATTTTGATATGCGACGATGGTTTTACATAATAGAAATTAATCGAATTTAGAGAAAACCACACTTTGGGATGGGATGATATAAGATTGAAAAGCATAATATATGAATCATTGAAGAAATTAAGTTAAAGTATGTATACATATTATATATATAATTTTCATATATATATATATATATGTGTGCAAGCATCACTAGGAGATGATGTAGATGAGCATTAACTAGTTGAATTTTATTTATGTTTTGAAATTCCAAAGTTCGTCCTCACAAGACTACGACCCATCTATTCTGATATGAAAAATGGGCCTTGAATAGTATATATATATATATATATATAATATTATTATTATTCATATAACTAGAAGATGGGTGGGCCGGGTCTTGGAAAGCCCTTAATGGTAGAGAATAAAGTAGTCGAAAGTTATAATTGGGTTAGACTTATACACTCATGAAAGTTATAAATTATTGAAAAATAATTAAATAAATGTATTAAATTTAGTGCATTTTTGTTTTGTATGTATATATATATATATATATTATAAATAATTAAATATTTGCAAAAAATTAACAAGCTACCCACTAGAAACAACAAAGATCTAATTAACACTACCAAAATTTTGATATGTTTATATGTTTACAAATTAACAAAATAACTAAGAAAATCATATAAATTAAAATGATTTTTATAATTAAATTTGGAAAAAAATAAAATTCTTAAATGATTTAAAAAGTTATGGGTTGAGAAACTTGTAACATTTTAATTATACATTGATAAAATATATATTGTAACTTAAATCATATATTATAAGTAATTATTATTGAATTAAATATCTAATATATATATTTTTATAACAGACTAAGGTTTTAAGTCAAATTACGTTCTTATATATATTTTTGTTTGAATATCGTGTTTTATTGTATTATAATTGATATATAATCATTAGAGTTTATATATCATTTAATTAATGAATATATAAATTTTTATTAAAAAAATCATTCATTAAATTTTAAAAGGTTTCTAGACTCCAGAGATGGATAATACTATCGCGATCTAAGCCCTGAATAGAATTTTGAACAGAGAATTGATTCTCATCAATGCTAACTCTAACATGCTTCTAATTTTGAAAGCTTGGTTATTTAAGAATTGAAATATCAAAATTCAACACGTCTACCGCGAGAAAAATCATCGGGCTGATTATTAGAGTTTTCTCACGTAAAATGTGCAACTCTTAGTCTTATCTTGTTTGATTACTTGTGTATTTTCTCACTCTCTCGTATTTTTTTTTTTTTAAAGAATGTAATAGTTATATTTTTTATTTAAGCAAAAACTCGTACTAAATCTAGTTTTAATAACTTTTGGACTAATTCAACACAAATATTTTGGTAGGGATTGATTTGTACAAATTAAAATGGTGTATTAACATATCGATTATACTTTTAATCACACGTTTTAATATACGTTAATGATACTTATAAAAACTTTCATTTTTAGACAAATTATGATTTCTCTTTTTTTTTTTAAATTTAATACAAAATAACCCAAATAATATTTATAGTAAAACTATAGAATTTAGTTATTAAAAATCAGGTCGAAATACTCGTTAAAATAAATAAATAAACAAATACACGAGACATCTATAGTTAATCACAACTCGGTAATGACAGAACTTATGTTCTTTCATACATCCCAAATACAATCAAATTACCCAAAAATTTAATTCCCCTAAAAACTAAATAAATTCAATTTAATTTAATTTTTTTTTTAAAAAAAAGCTCAATAAATTAGAAAATTACATAAACCCTGTTAGAACTAATAACCCTTCTTCCTCCACTCCAAATAAAACAATAAAAAAATTACACACAGACAACATTTCCACAATTAATATATATATATATATATATATTTAAAAAATAATTATTAGGTTAAATTTAAAATTAAAAAAAAAAACAATTGTTGTCATCTTCCATCCAATCATAGGCGTCCACGTGTCCTTCAAACTTCGAGTTTGTCGTGTGGCCGGGCCCCACCAAAGAAATAAGAACTAAGCAAAGAGACAGCAGTAACAACACATCACGTGAAATTAGCAGATCCCCCAGTTGCAATTTTTTTTTTCTTTCTCTGTTAATTAAACTAGCTAAGAAGCTGCTCCGTGTCCGTACAAACCATGGAGTCAGCGCTCGGCGGCTGCTGCTGCTGCTGCTGCTGGTGTTGGTGTTGTTGTTGTTGTTGATGATGATGATGATGTTGGTGTACAGAAGGTTGTGTTTGTGAGCTGTTCATCTTCTTCAGGTTCTGTTGGTGATATACTTGTCTCAATCTCTCTATCTCCTTCTTTAATGCCTCTTGATGGGCTGTGTGCGTAAATTATAAACGCATATAATTACACACACATGTATATACGTATAACACATGAGTTAAGCGTGAAAAAGGAAACACGAAAATCAAGAATCGGAATCCCCACACGAAACCCATTACATGTTAATGTAAATCAAATGATGATTCAGCTTTATCTAAATTGGGTAATGAGGAAGCAAACTCTAGCTATATTATATAATACATGTGTGTTCCTGGAAATACTGTTCATCACTTTATATATATATGTGTGTGTGTGTGTGTGTGTATGGATATGGAATAGTGATTAGAATGCTGAAAACGTTATACCATCTTTGAAAATCTTGTCCTGAGCCAAAGCAGCGATGCGTTGCTTCAAGGTGCTGTTATCGACGTTAAGAATCAAGCGTTGATGATCCAAGAATGCTACTCTCGGTGACAATGCCGATACCTCCGTCTTCATTTTCCCAGTAGTAATTAATTAAGATTAATTAAGGTAAATCATAACAATGAGTAGGAAATTAATGTAATAATAATTAATTATACATATATACATACATATATATATATATATACGTGTGATTATAAAGAGACCTGTAATGTGGTTACGCTTCGTTCAAGCTCCGAAATGTATTGTAGCTTCCTCACTCGTGATCTCTGCGCCGATTGCCGATTAGCTAAAATTCTGTTCATTATTATCACAAATTCATAATTAATTAATCAAATTTGAAAAGAAACAAGAACAAAAAAAACATATTTCGTATCAGATTCTACAAAGAATTAGTTTATCTCAAAGTTGATTATCAATGCAAGATCCTATTTGATTACCAGATGCATAATTAAACAAGACTGTAATCAGAAATCCCTGCTGGCTTCTTAAATTCTTACATGAGTTCATGCATAAAATCAAATAATAGTAGGTTATCATCTTTCATTCATGTAAAATGTATATATATAATCACGTACGTACCTTTTGACCCTTTTAGGGTCAATGATGGTATCCCCAATGTTGGAGAGCTGTTGGAATGGTGGTTGTGGTTCATGAGATTTATTAATGCATGGACTCTCCACCTCGCCAGGTTCTTGCTTTAGCTGCTGCGGAGCCAGACCATAGTCCATCACCGTTTTCTCCTCGTTGTTGCTGTTCTGATCGGACGGCGTGGAAGGGTTTGACGTCGCCGGCGGTACGGCGATGGAGACGTCGTCGGAGAACATGGACAGCAACTGTTCGTCGTCCAAACGGTCAAATCCATGCATGGCATTATCATTGCCACTATTATTATTATTCGCCGCATTATTGTTATTGGTACTTTCGTTTCTGGTTTCCTCCTCATCGTCGGCCAACAACGGAGCTTCGAGGAAGGCGATGGAGTCGCTAATGCAGCGGCGGTGCGCTCCGCGGCGGGCGGAGGAGAAGTCCATGAACTCATCAATCCAAGAGGGTTGGTGGGTTTCCGGCACGGCGGCTGAAGCGGCGGCGGCCGGAAAGAAAAAATTGGATGAAGTCATTGTGGGTTGGTGATGAGGAAAAGAATTAGGCCAATTGTGGGGGACTTTGGGCGGTAGTTGTGCCATATTGGTGGAGGAAGAGAGAGAGAGAGAGAGAGAGAGAGAGAGAGAGAGAGAGAGAGAGAGAGAAGTAGAAAGACGGAATGGATGGATGGTGGGAAAGAGAAAAAAAATAAGAAAAAGTGGGTTATGTAAGTTATAACCAGAGCTATATATCTATATATATGTGTGTACGTATAAATGTAAGAGATAATAGTAAAAAACTAATTAACCAACAAGCTGATCAGACCCTCTTTTAAAGGGGTGGGGGGGGAATTGTGTTTCTTTTTTTTTTTTTAAATGTGTGTGTGTGTATATATGTATATGTATATGTAGCAGGTAGCTTGTGGGTAAATAGATATAGGGTGAGTGTAAGTATATCTGTAAGCATATGTGTATTAGAAAAGAAGAAGAAGAGTCACATGGGAAGAGACAGCTAGCAACAGCTGGGGTTGGAGGTGAGGACTCAA